GAGCCCCATGTGGGACTTAATCCCAGGGCTCTGGGATCATGACCTGAGCCAAAGGCAGACCCTCAATTGACTAAGCCACCCAAGCACCCAAGGGAAATACTTTTGCCATTTTATTTGTTTTGTGGGTATCATAGTTTTTTTGTCCATCATTTTCTTTCTTACAGTCTTCTTTTGTGTTTATTTTTTTAGTGATCCTTCCCCTGTCCTTTTGTGTATATTTACTAGATATTTTTGTGTTTACCATGGGGATTACATATAGCATCCTAAAGGTATTATTTGTTTCAAACTGATAACAATTTAATTTCCATCCCACACAAAAACTCTGCTCCTTTATATTCTGCCTCTTTTTACGTTATCAGTCTCACAGATTACGTCTTTCTTTGTTGTGTACCCATTATCATAGATTGGTAGTTATTTTTATGCTATTGTTTTTTAAAATCTTATAGAAGAGTAAGAAAACATGATTATGAACTAAAATTATAATAATACTTCTTTCTATGTTTATCCATACATTTACTTTTACTGAAGAACTTTGCATTTTCATATGGCTTTGAATTCCTGAATAGCATTTTTTCATTTCAACTTGAAGAACTCCCAATAGCATTTCTTGTAGGGCAGGTCTAGTATTAATACTCCCTCAACTTTTGTTTGTCTGGGAAAGTCTTAATTTTTCCCTCATATCTGAAGGATTGTTTTTTGTTTGTTTTGGGTTTTTTGTTTTGTTTTGTTTTTTCTTTTTGCCAGATATAGAATTCTTGGTTGATAGTTTTTTTTCTTTTATTTTTTTTAAAGATTTTATTTATTTGAGCGAGAGAGAGCGTGCACAAGCAGGGGGTGTGGCAGAGGGAGAGGGAGAAGCAGATGTGGGGCTCAATCCCAGGACTCTGGGATCATGGCCTGAGCTGAAGGCAGATGCTTAACTGACTGAGCCACCCAAGTGTCCCGATAGTGTTTTTCTTTTAACACTTTAAATATTTCATCCTTTCGTCTCTGGACTGCAAGGTTTTGACTGAAAAATCCATGGATAATCTTAGGAGGATTCCTTGTACTTGATAAGTTCCTTTTTTCTTGCTGCTTTCAATATTATCTCCTTGTTTTTGTTTTTCAGCAGTTTGATTACAGTGTGTCTTGGTATGGGTCTCTTTGGGCTTTTCCTTCTTGGAGGTTTTTGAGCTTCTTGTGTTTGTATATCCACATCTTTCCTCAAATTTGGGGAGTTTTTGGTCATGATTTCTTCAAATAAGCTTTATGATCCTTTCTTCTTGAACTCCCATAATGTATATATTGTTTTACTTTATGATGTCCCTCAAATCTGCTATTCTGTGTTCATTTTTCTTCATTCTTTTTTATTTTTGTGCCTCAGACTCAATAATTTCAAATTCCCTGTCTTCAAATTCACTGATTCTTTTTTCTGCCTGTTGGAGTGTTTCGTTCAACCACTCTAGTGAATTTTTCAATTCAGTTATTGTATTTTTCAGTTTTAGAGTTCCTATGTGGTTCTTTCTGTCTTTTTGTTAATAATCTTATTTTGTTTCCATATCATTTTCCTGATTTCTGTTAGCTCTTTGTATTTTCCTCTTTGAGTGTATTTAAAATAGTTGTTTTAAAGTCTTTGTCTAGTAAATCTGAAGGCTGTATTTGTTCAGGATGTTTTTGGAGATTTATTTTTTCCTTTGAATGGGCCATGTTCTTTTGTTTCTTTGTATGCATATGATCTTTTGTTGAAAATTCAGCATATAAAACAGCTGCCTCTCATAGTCTTTGCAGACTGGCTTCATGCTTGGGAAGAACTTCACTAATCGGTGTAGCATGAAGGCTTAAGGACTTCTTAGGCCTTTTCTGGGCATTTGTCTCCCCTGGGCTTGTATGTGCTTTTCACACATGGGCTCAGTTTTCCTGTATACAAGGCTGTTTTAAGGTGTGTTAAATTCCTTAATCTCCCCGCTCCTTCTTCTTGGGACCTTACCTGTTCTGTTGTATTCTTCTGCCTGTAATTTCTTGCCCCCAGGTGTCTACCATGTCCTGGGATATGAAGTCCATTTTCAGTTTTCACTAGCCATGACCACTGCTTCTCATGGCTTTCTTTAGCCTAAGATCCCAGCCACTTTTGACTATCTGTATAGTCTGTGTTAGACATCATAGAGAAATCCCTTAGGCGGCCCTGACTTTAGAACATTGCAAATTTGATCTCTCTGCTCTCTCCATTTTGTGGAAGGGAGCTGGGGTCCAGGCTGCCACTCACCTCTTACTGTGCCTTGGAGCATCAAGGAGTGGGTGAGGTAAGGGCCATTAAGAATGCCACAGAATTGGGCGCCTGGGTGGCTCAGTCATTAAGCGTCTGCCTTTGGCTCAGGTCATGATCCCAGGGTCCTGGGATCGAGTCCCACATCGGGCTTTCCGCTCTGCGGGAAGCCTGCTTCTCCCTCTCCCACTCCCCCTGCTTGTGTTCCTGCTCTCGCTATGTCTCTCTCTGTTAAATAAATAAATAAAAAGTCTTTTAAAAAAAAAAAAAGAATGCCACAGAATTTTCTACCATTTTATTTTATTTTTAAATTTTTAAAAGATTTTATTTATTTATTTATTTGACAGAGAGAGACAGCGAGAGAGGGAACACAAGCAGGGGGAGTGGGAGAGGGAGAAGCAGGCTTCCCGTGGAGCAGGGAGCCCGATGCAGGGCTCAATCCCAGGACCCTGGGATCATGACCTGAGCCGAAGGCAGACGCTTAACGACTGAGCCACCCAGGTGCCCCTCTACCATTTTAAATGTGGCATTTTCTTCATTGAGCATACACTTCATTGTTGTAGATCTTTGACCAGTTTCCAGAGCTCCTATTAAGTTATCTTACTTGGAGATTGTTGAGCTTCTTGGATGTGTAGATTACTACTTTTCAAATTTGGGATGTTTTGGACATTTCTTCAAAAAAGTTTGTACTCCTTTATTCTCTTTCCTTTATCTCCTATTCACACTGTGTATGTTGGTGTGCTTAGTAGTGTCTCATGTTTCTCTGAGACATCCATTTTTCCTCAATCTTCTTTTTCTGTGGCGTCAGGTTGCACAATCTCCATTGATCTGTCCTCAAGTATGCTAATTCTTTCTTCTGCCAGTTTAAATCTATTGTTGAAGCACTCTAGTGAACTCTTCATTTTATTGTGCTTTCCAACTCTATACTTTCCATTTAATTTTTAAAAATAATTCCTGTTACCTTTCTTCATCTCCTTAAGCATAATTTTATTTAATTCTTTGAACATATTTGTAATGGCTACTTTGTGTATTCAGTATGACATCTGGGCCTTCTCAGAGGTTGTTTCTCTTGACTGCTTTTCTTCCTGTTTATGGATCCACTTTCCGGTTTCTTTGAATGCCTAGTAGTGTTTTTGGTTGGAACCTGGACATTTCAGGTGGGATATTGTAGCAACTCCAGGTACTGACTCGTCCCTCTTTGTGGCTTATTTTGTTTTCTTCTTTATTTCTCTATAGTAAGTTGGCAGGATTAATTAAGGGAAGTTTATTTCCACCAAAAGATGGAGCCTCTGATGTCACTTCTCAGAGTGTGCCCTCTTGGGTGTGTGCACAGTCACCCTGGAATGACAGAGATTTTAGCAGGGCTCTAGTTGGCTGTCTGTGTAATGTTTTTCTTTTTCTTTTCTTTTTTTAAATTAAGTTTTCATTTGAACTCCAGTTAACATACAGTGTTTCTTAGTTTCAGGTGTACAGCGTAGTGATTCAGCAATTCCATACAACATCCGGTGCTCATCCCAACAAGTGCCCTCCTTAATCCCTATCACCTGTTTTGTGTTATGTTTTCTGTCTCCGTTGGTATCATACCCAGATGTTAAGCCCCCCTAATTGCAGGCTAGTTGCTCTGTTGTTTTTGACCATGTCCTGGGATATAAATTGTTCCACACTCTTGTCCAGTTAAATCTGGGCTCCATTCAGGGGTAGTTTTTGAGGCATGTTTGTGGCTTATTCTGACCCTAGAGGGACTGTTCTTAATGATCTCTATCCCAGTGTTCTCTGGTAAATTTGCTGGCTTGCAGCTTAGCCTGTTACTCTAATGAAGCCACCAGCCTTCTCTTTGTTGCTTACCACCAAAATCTCCATTGCCTTTAGATTTGCCCTTCCACACGGTCTATTTCAAATAAAGTCATTTCTTTTGGAGAGCTTTGGAGCTCTGTGATCTCATGGTTTACCTCTTCCCCTGAGCAAAATCTCTGAGACCTTGCTTCAGAACTAGGGGTAGGACAGTGACCTGATTCTCTCAGAGTGACAGCCCTACTTTATGAGCAGGGCTCTGGGTGGGGACTGTAACCTCTGGTCTTCTTGGCTTACCTCTCCAGCCTGAAACCTTGCTCTACAATAGTTTCAGCATGGGGTAGAGCCTTTGCTGTCTGAGTGGGGGCTGTGTGGAGGAAGGGAGGAAAGGAGTCCCTGTGTTGTTAGCCACGCTTGCCAGGAAGTTAGCCTTTGCCACTCAGAGCTATGAGAAGACTAGGAAATGCTGGTGGCCTGCCCCTTCTGGTGACAGCGATTTCAGTCTTATCCACACTCACTTGAAGTGGAGCTTCTAGGGCAGGGAAGGGAAGAACAGACACTGACTCTGCCTGTTCTTATTGACATCTACCAGATCTTCTTGACTAAATGTTTCATTTGGCGTGTGCCCTTTGGACAATCCCCGGAGACTTTAAATGTTTGTTTTTTTGTTTGTTTTTTGGGTTTTGTTTTGTTTTGTTTTAATAATTTTCACCAGTTGTGGGTGTTTCACCAGGGAGCAGGTCTGCTAAGCTACCAGTGTCTCCATCTTGGAAGCGAAACATCTGGACTTTATCTTGAGGGCTGAGGGCACTGAAAGTTGTTAAGTAATGGTGAAAAGTGGGCTTTAAAATACTACTTTGGCTGCAATTTGGAGAACTGAACATTTTCTTTGGACACCTTTGTGTCCATATTTCATAACTCTGTTGAATCCTTATGAGAGTAAAACTCCAGTAAATTTTTGTTCCAGGTTAAAGAACTGTTTTCTTCTTTGGGAGTTGAATGTAATATCTTGGAACTTGATCGAGTTGGTAAGTAGAATGGGTAGTGTATACTTTTGTTTGTAATAAATGTCAACAAGATTGACTACTTCCCATTTGCTTTGTTCAATTCAATTTTCTCTTGTCCCTTTGGGTTAGGTGAGCTGTTTTTGTCTACTTTCAACCATGCAGAAAATAGAACTCTATACGGCAAATAATTTGGTGTAGATTTTTTTTATTTATATACTTTTCATATTTGAGGAAAGGGGGCAGGAAGAAGATGTGTATACTGCTAAGGATGGAGTATTTCAGGCATTTAATATGTATCTGTCAACTTTCTGGCAAAATAGATTAAGCTGTAATAAATGGAAAAAAACTACCCTTATTTCCTGACTGTATTACACATGAGGGGAACACATAATTTTTCAGCTTTATATTTTTAATTCTTGTCATGCATGCATCCATCCATCTAATATTAACCAAGAGTTTTACCCACGCTTGTGATCTGCAAAGGTGGGAAACAGGGTGGTAAACAGAAAAGAGTTTGATCTCTGCCTTCACCAGACTTCACCAACTCCTTTTAGCTTAGACTTTTCTACAGTGTATACCACATAGGGCAGTCATAAGTAGTTGTGGCCCTGTGTTATTTTTAGGGGTGGAGGAGACATTTTGGATCATGGATCATAAAGATTTTTCAAATGTAATTGTAGGACACATTTTCTGAGTTATGACAGTGGAAGCAGGTTTTATCCTGATATTTGTTCTTTTAAGAGGATTTTTATTTATTTGTCCCAGCAAGGCCATTGAATGATAGATCAAAATCTAATTTAGAAGGGTTCGTTTTAAATGAATTTGTAGGTTTGTCTTTATTCTTTAAGGTTTCCTTTGAAAACAGGTGTTTCCCCTTCCTGAGTCATCATTTCATGAAGTTATATAATATGTAAATATGTAAGTACTGACGTTTTATGGGTGCGTGCATGTGAGCGTCTGGTGTTGTAACACTTCTGTTCAACTCCCAAAAGTTTGGAACCCTTTCAATGTTCTTATATATTTAAGTTTTTATTATTCAGATGATGGGGCCAATGTCCAAGAAGTGTTGTCAGAGATCACTAATCAGAAAACCGTGCCCAATATTTTTGTGAATAAAGTGCATATGGGTGGATGCGATCAAACTTTCCAGGTAATAATGGTATTATATGTTTTTAATGCTATTCAAAGTTTGGTTTTAAATCTATCTAAAAGGGGAGAAAATGGCTTTTAAAAAGGAGTCTATTCATGGGGCGCCTGGGGGGCTTAGTCGGTTAAGCGTCTGCCTGGGGCTCAGGTCATGATCCCAGGGTCTTGGGACTAAGCCCTGATCTGGCTCCCTGCTCAGCAGGGAGCCTGCTTCTCCCTCTCCCTCTACCTGCTACTCCCCCTGCTGGTGCGCTCACTTGTTGTCTCTCTGTCTAAATAAAATCTTAAAAAAAAAGGAGTCTATTCATTTGTCTTTTGGAAGTTGTAAAGTGGAAAAGCATAGAGGATGGTTATCAGATAATCTTGAAAGTGGTGATAGATAAAATTGATGTTCTTAAGTTAGGTCCTTGTTTTATAACTACTTCCTTTTATTAAAATTGTGTTCCTTTGTATTTGTTTATGTATGTATGTAAATGGTAGTGATCAGTGATTAAATACTTATATTTGAGACTTTAACTTAAAATTACATTTTCTTGGGAAACTAGATTGTCTGGATTTATGTTAATCTATGATCAGCTTCGTTATCTATTAACAGCCTGCATTAGTCCCAAAAGCTCCACCTCAGCTCATGTGGTGGTATGTAGCATAATGAGAGGCCCCGAAACACCTCGGGAAGTGCTGGTCTTACCATTCCTAACCTGGAAAAGATGTCAGAGGATGAATCTGGAGATGCAGAGTTATACTGCATGGCACATACTTAGGAGATGTATTTTCCTTAGGGCACCTAATAGTAAGGAGGCCAAAGGAATCCTTTTTAGAATGTGCCAAAAGCCTCCATGGGCACTCATCCATCTGGGGCCATGTGCCATGTGCTGAGTCCTACAGTGATAGAGTACTTCCACTGTGCTTCCCAGGATGAGCTGGTGCCACATGGTGTTTCTAAAGCCAGCTTCATGGGGTGGAGCACCCACCTTCACATAAAACTATTGCTACATCATGCATTGATTGTCTCAACTTGCCTAAGCTACTTCTGATCAGAAGGGAGGGCCGAGTGAGCAGGAAACTATCATGCAGAGCTAGCCTTATGACCATTGCTGAAAGAAAAAGCAAAATTTTGTGTTGTATAGGAAGTTTACCAGGATGCTGCAAAATATAGGTCAATTTATGAGAAACCATGTAAAAATTTGATGTGCATGTCCTGCTGATGATGCTTAAGAATTGTTTTCAAAATAAAGCCTAGCACCGGTAAACAAAAGATAGAGGATCTTGAAAAATGGTATATGGCTATTTTACTTAGTTATAATACTTTGATGATTAGACCAAGGAAAATGACCTCACCTGACATAAAGCTGTGACCTATGGGTCATTTGACACACGTGTAGCCATCAGGTGATAATGAACAAAAATGTACGTACTTAGCATAAGTTCTATCTAGTGGGACCCTATTTGAATACCATCTAGATAAATTTAAAATTTGAACTTAGATGAATTAGGGACTATTAATAAGAGTTTTAGAAAAGCAGTCCATGCTGATTCAACATAGGGTACAAAGGAACAGATTTAAGACAGGTCATGCCTCCTCTCTCCTTTGATTCGTAGGCTCATCAGAGTGGCTTATTACAGAAGCTCCTTCAGGAAGATGCAGCATACGATTATGACCTCATTGTCATTGGGGGAGGTTCTGGTGGCCTTGCATGTGCACAGGTATGAAAATAATGAAACCAGAAAATTTTCCTGGGTTGCTGTAAGCATTTCTTCAGCTACTTTAAAAAAGCCAATTTTGATGTTACAGTCCAGGGCTTTTATTGAATTAATAAAGAGAAGGGACTGTGTTCTTCCACAGTCTTTTCCTTTCAGGGAGAGAAAAATTGGGGGGTTGTCAGGAAAATGACAAGATCTTTATATGTAGCTTTTTTTTTTTTTGTAGGAAGCTGCCATCTTGGGAAAGAAAGTTATGGTGCTAGACTTTGTGGTCCCATCACCTCAGGGCATGTCCTGGGGTAAGCAGTGTTTTTTTATTGTGACTCTTGTAGTTTTCTGCTCTTTACAGCCGGCTTTGTCTTTCTTTAATCTTGTTAATCCTCACAACAGTCTCAAGAGGTACAACTAGCCTGTTTCATAGGTGAGGAAAGCAAGTCTCTGTGAGGTTAAGTAACTGACCTAAGATCGCATAGTTAACAAGTGGTGATTCGGAAAGTTAATATAAAAGTAATGAAGGAAGATTTTGCAAAAAGAAAAAATTCAGTGCCTCCAGTATTCCAACACTTGTGCCATAATAATTCTTGCACACATGCACCAGTGTTTTTCCCTTAGTTGCAATCACAGTATATCCTGTGTGGTGCTCACCTAAGTCTGCTATGACCTTGTCTTGTGTTTCTGCCTCAGTTTCATCGCTGACTCCCTAATGGCTGCATGATGCTCAGTCAAGTTAGTGTGTGTCATCCTTCAGGTCCCATCAGCACAGTGTACAGTGAGCTTCCAGTTGTAGATGAGAGCGTTCACTTTAACAAAACACGCAGATTTCGTGTTGGATATTTTCTGTTTATGGATCAGATCCATTCTTCATGTCTCTACCTTTTTCCGTGCCCCAGAAAGCTAATGCATTGGCAACCTTGCCCTCTGGCTTCCCCCTGGGTTCGACCAGTTAGTGGTCATGGGAGGAGAACAGAAGGAGGGAGGAGAGTGGAGTTGGGGGTGTTCATTCCCCCAGCTCCTGCCCTGCTGATCCCTGCAGGCATGGAAGGCCACTTCCCCTGTCATGGCCAGCCCCCCGTGGGCTGTCACTCACTCAGTGTGCTTTGCCCATCACATGGGGTTGGCGATGACCCACTCACTATTCTGCTCCTCCTCGCTCTTCCTGCCCACACCCCGTAATCATTTCTTTATAAACTCTCCTCAGTTTCCCAGCTTGAGGGTGTCATCTGTTTTCTGCTGGAACCCTGACAAAATAAGAAAATCATGTTTTAAAATTCAAATTTATTGAAAAATTTTACCTTAGAATTTCATACGCTAAAGCTAATCTATCTTGATTTTCCTTCTAACATTTGTATGTTAAAAAATTCCTTTGTGTACCTGTCATTGTTTTCTCCCTCTCTCCTCCTGCCCTGTTCCTTCTTTCTCTCCTGTCTATAAATATCCTATTTCTCTGAATTACCAGAAGAGAGACTGATCAGAGAGGGAGTTTTCTGACTCATGCCCTGCACGGGGGCATCACACATGGCCTTTTTGTGCTGCTTGAGATTGAGAGTAGATGTTACCAGGCAGCTTGCAGTGGACCTAATATTGGCTCAGAGGAGGAGTCAGACTTACAGAGAATAAAGGCTAGAAGCTGGGATTCCAGCCCTTGGTCTGGTATCTATCTAATTAATCTAATATAGTTCTGATCCCTTTATGGGTCAGACTCAAATGAAAATTTTGGATTCTCTCCCCAGAAAACTATTCAAGTGTACATCTGTATTTTTGCTCATCTTTGGGTCTCCTTCACAGACCCTCATTTGAAAAGTTTGGCTTAATCATTTGCGTGTTATTGTGGGGTCTGCTGTTGGCCCCACAACCATCTGAATGTGTCATTTCCACAGGTTTAACAACACCTGCTCTACATGTATTTAGAACCATGTATACACCCACAGACACAGAGGAAACATTAAACCTATTATCTTCTTTCTCAGGTCTTGGCGGTACTTGCGTAAATGTGGGCTGTGTTCCTAAGAAATTGATGCATCAAGCTGCCCTTTTGGGGCAGGCGTTAAGTGACGCCAGGAAGTTTGGCTGGGAGTACAGTCAACAAGGTGGGTAACAGTATATAAAAATACAGATTGGGAGAAAAGAAGAAAGAATGAGTTTCTTAGAGAAAGACTTGGTATTTATATTTCTACAGTTGAGTCTGAAATTCGTTTAATGACCACTCATTAGGACCCCACTTTGGCATAGAGGATCACTTGAAACCTGGCCCTGCTCTCGGGGACCTTGGTGCCTTTGGCAGCTATAGTCATTCCATACTCTTTACAGAATGTGAGAGAGAATAATTGCTATTTTCAGATTTCCTTCAAGTGTAAAGAAAATAGAATAGCCAGGGTCATTATTTGAATTTTATCCATTATCGTGATAACATTTTCTATTTTACCAGTGGTTATATATGTCTTTGTTTAGTGAAAGATGGAAACCAAATTCACCCAATAGACACTTATTGGTTAGGCTCTGAGGATACAGATAAGAGGAAAATAGAGCTTCTGCCCTGAAGCAGTACACGGTCTGTTGGAAGAGATGAGAAGAGAAGAGAGGCGATTCTGTGTGCTGTGGTTCACAGGGAGGTTTTGAGCATTGCCTTGAGGGGCACTTACTGTATCCTTGAGAGTCAGAGGTGGTGGAGGTGACCCTTGAGCTGAATCTTGAGGGTCACAGAGAAGTAGGTCATAAAGACAGGAAGCAGTGTGCTCTGAACTCTGGAGCTGGGAGAAAACATGGAGTCTTTGGGGGATAGTGAATGGCTGGTGTGGAGAATGGGGGAGGGATCCTGGAAGAAACAAGATTACAGAGAAACAGGTCATGGTGGCTCTTAAATGCCATCTGAAGGAGTTGTGATTGACCCCAAAGGGAGTAAGGGAGTCATTGAGGGGTGTCAACAAGGGAGGAGCCTGAACAACAGTTTGGATTCTGGATCCCTCTGGTGGCACCAAGGAGTTTAGAAGGCTGGAAGTGGGGAGGGGGGCAAGTCCAAAGACAGGGAAGTGAGGTGGGGTGCTGTCACCTAACCCAGAGGAGAAATGACCAGGCCTGGGCCAAGACTGATTTTGGACTAGAGAATGTGAAGTGGATTTAGAGGATTGAAGGCCTGGAATTGACAGGCTCGACGTGGATGGGTGATTTTGTCTCTTTAGAATAACATTATGGAATTTCTAAAAAAATTACAGGGACTGGTCTCCCAAGAGATTTTGGTGGAGGAAATGTGTGCATGAGCATATCCTTCCTGGTGATTTGGCTGGGCCCCCCAGGTCACAGAGTGGGTGGAAGGTGAAGGAAAGGAAGGAATCCCAGAAGAGGGAGTGGGTGACAATGCAGTGTATTTGCTGAGCTGGAAAACAGGCAGGTGTGAGTTAGTGGCCAGGTGTGGTGGAGTTCAGCATAATGAGTTGTGGCTGGACAGATTCTCCATGGACAAATTTCCCCAGACACTCAGCTCTGTGGAGAGCTTTGGGTCCAGCTTTAGTAGCAACTGGTTGTAGATAAAATGGTCTTTGCCCTTGGCAGTTTAACTTTGGGGTCATCTTCACTTTCAAGAATCCTTCTCCCCGAATCCTTCATCTTGTATGGGTTTTCCCCTGCAGAACACCTGGTGGGAGTTCGCTATCAGGGGATGGTTTGTGCTTGAGAGAGGTCTAGGCAGGGCCTGGGTTTGCAGCCCCGGTGGTGGTTGAAGTCTTAGGAATTGCTGAGAGGGGCTGGGGAGGCCCTATGGATGGAAAAGAATAGCAGACACAGACAGGATCCTGAGAAATGTTAATACCTAACGGGTAGGTGAGGAAGATGAGGAAAACCCAGGAGAATCATGTCACAGAAGCCAGGAGGGGCTAGATTTTTAAGGATAAGACTTAGGGCTTAGAGAGTCTCCGAAGAGAACCATCTGGAGGGAAAAGGTGCCGGAAGGCCAAATGGATTAGGATTTGAATTAGGTACATTTTAGATTGGCAATTAGGTAGTTAAGGAGTCTCTCTCTCTCTCTTTTTAAAGATTTTATTTCTTTATTTGTGAGAGAGAGAGAGAGAAAACACAGCAGGGGGAGGAGCAGAGGGAGAGGGACAAGCAGACTCCGTGCTGAGCACCAAGCCAGATGTGGGGCTCGATCCCATGACCCTAAGATCATGACCTGAGCCGAAATCAAGAGTCAGACACTTAAGTGACTGAGCCACCCAGTCGCCCAAAGGAGTCTTTTTAAAACTAAAAGTGTTTATAGCCTGTTTTAATAATTCTAAAATAATCGAGGCCAAGTGGGGAGGAAACTGAATGCCCCATAATGGAGAAAGGCCATGAAGAATGGAACTGTACACGTGGTCTGTGATGAGGACAGCCAGGCAGAGAGGTGTGTGGGTAACTCCCCATGCAGGGTTCCCCACAAGTTAATGACTTCTGGGTGTATCAGCCCTGCCCGGCGCCCGCAGCCCCACGCTGCTGGGGCCCTGCACGTTCGGCAGGGGCGGGGCGGACAGCAGGGTGTATGCTCATGCCACTTGGCCTCACCTGAGGGTCCAGGTTATGTTCTTGAACTTATCTCTGTGCTTAATATTCCTAAATACTTTCTAATTCCCTCAAGTGTGTAAAATCTTGTTCCACATATACAAAAGGCTTCTAAGTTAGTTTTGAGTTGCTATGCTAAGAAATACCTAGCTAACCATCACATGGAATTTGGGGCTTAGCAGTTTTTAGGAATAGGCTTCATGGAATGGCCAAGAGAAGTCCATAGAATCTAAGTGGTAAGAGAAAGGAACTGAAAGCATGCCGAAATCTTGGTGTGGGAGAATGTTCTAGATACTTTGGTTCTTGATGTTGGTAGAGGAATAATGGGTTAAAATAAATTTAAAATGTATATATAATTTCCAGATCAGAAATTGAATATAGAACTTCCAAGAAAAAGGAAATGGGAAATATACAAATAAACAGCATGAAACTAACTTAAAACAAGCAAAAAACAACCCAGAAAACAAGACGGCAGACAGACATAGGGACAGTCTTTTACATATTAGATAATAAAGCTGAGTGAATAAACTTCTCAAGTTGTGTAGACAGAATTCATCTGTGTGCTGTTTACAGGACACACACCTAAAACCAAAAGAGATAATTGTTGAGAATACAGGAATTTTAAATTTTGAAAAGACTAACTTAAATTTTCCTATTTAAAATGAAATAGATGGGAAATTTTTAAATAGGTGGGAGAAGCTGTATCAGGGAAAGGCAAACCAAAGCAATGGCAGTTAATATCAGATAGGGAGACTACAAGGCAAAAAAACCCCCCACAAAAGCATACACACACAAACACACACGCGCACGTGCACACACACACACATATACCCCACACTGAGGAATTAATGATTTAGCACCCTCCCCAAAATAGAATCAATGAACAAAACCAAGAATATATTTGAAAATGCAAGTAAGTAGGTAGGCCTTTGGCAAATCCAGTCGGGGAAACAGAAGAGAGAATTCATACAAATATGTAACATTAGGGGTCTTGAGAAAAGAAAGATAACTACAGAAAGAGAAGAGAAAAAACAAATTCAGGATACAAATTAGTGGTAAGAATTTTAAATATCTTGATGAAAAGGAGTATATTCTAGGAAAATATAAATGACCAGAATGGACTTGAATTATCAAAGAAAACATTGCCTAAGGACAACCAATTCTCCAAGACTCTATAAATTTACATGTAAATTTCCTCAAATCTTCAAGGAAAGACACTTTTTTAAATATTTAAACTGTTCTAGAGTTTAGGAAAAAATGGAAAGTTCCACCTTTTTTTTTTGAGGCTGACTTAACAGTGATACAGAAAGATAGTGTAAAAATAGAAAGCTATTGCCATTTGCAACGACGTGGATGGAACTGGAGGGTGTTATGCTGAGCGAAGTAAGTCAATCAGAGAAAGACATGTATCATATGACCTCACTGATATGAGGAATTCTTAATCTCAGGAAACAAACTGAGGGTTGCTGGAGTGGGGGGGGGTAGGAGGGATGGGGTCACTGGGTGATAGACACTGGGGAGGGTATGTGCTATGGTAAGTGAATTGTGCAAGACTGTTGAATCACAGATCTGTACCTTTGAAACAAATAATGCAATCATGGAACACTACATCAAAAACTGATGATGTAATGTATGATGATTAACATAACAATAAAAATTAAAAAAAATAGAAAGCTATAGCCCATAGAGCTAGAAGATTCTAGAAAAAACAAATCCTCTCCAGCAGTGACTAAAAGAATGCACTGTGACTTCTGAGGGTTCATTCTGGGGATACAAGAATGAGTCATTAGGAAACCAGAGTAAGGATGCTAAAATCCACATGATGACCTGGATTCTAGCTCCAAAGGCATTTGATAAAAATTTCACATCCATTATAGCTCTTAAAAAAAAAAAGTCATTAAACTAAGCAAAGAAATGGACACTTTTTTTACATGATGAAGAAAAGTCAGATGTAAATATTTGATGGAGAAGAGCTTGAGGCATTTACATTAAAGTCAAGAATCAAACAGGGCAGCCCACTTTCACTACTACATCTGCATTGTTTTGGGGCTTCTGGCCAGTGCACTAAAAGGAAGAATAGGAAAGAAAAAGTACATACTTGAGAAGAAGGAAGAAAAAGATATTATAAATCTATAATATGAATTATATACAAGATACCTAGAACATACAAGAGATCGAGCTAAAAATGTCAGAACTAATAAGAGTTCACTAAGTTGCTCGGAGGATATATGTGTAAAAATCAATAGATTTCTTACATTAGCAATAAGAAGTTAAATAAACAATGGAAAATTGCAACAAAATGATAGAATAACTTGGGATAAATTTACTAGGAATGGACAAAATATATAAGGAAAGAATAGAAAAGCATAACAATATACTGAGATTTTTGGATGGGATGTCTCAATATTATTAAAGACATTATCTAAAATTTAATTTGTAAATTTTATTTAAGTCCAGGAAAAACCTCAACAATTTTTTTTTCTTTTTGGAACCTGACAGATTATTCTAAAGTTTGTATTGAAAGTAAATATATGAGAATAGTTCTGCAGCCTTTGAGGAAGTATGGGAAATGATTTTTCCCATCAGTAGTTAGAATTGTGATACTGTTGCAAAGCTTAAACAGGTCAATAAAACAGTAGAGCATGTGGTTCCAAAGTGCTAGTCCCTGGGCTTGCCTTATCAGAATCTCCCAGCGGGAGCTTGTCCTGACTCCTTAGGTTTGTGGCAGGTCCAAGGATTTGTATGTTTCAACCTGATTCCCAGAGGATCCTGATGTGCAGCCATATTTGGGAAACCCTGATGTAGAGTGTCTCTTACAACAAGAGCCAGAAACAAACGGACATGTGAAGTGGGAATCTAACTGACAAGGTCCTTGGGAGAAATGGTTCTTGGAAGGTTAGAGGAGTAGCTTTTCTGGACTAGAGGGGAAGAGGTAGCTTAGGATCTGAGGGCATGTGCCATTATGGAGAGGCTCATCCCTGCTAGGCTGGCCTCTGTGTCTTACAAACACAGTGCTGCACGGAGGCTGATTTCTCCTTCAGGAGGCAGCATCAGCAGATGAGGTGAACACTAGGAAATCATTCCCACCTCGAAGATACAGGGATGATGAGGAATTTGATTGCATCACCTCCTGCTCCAGTTGCAACAGGAAATGAGTAAACATTGTAATATAAATGGTGGGCAGTGGTGAGCAGAAACCACATTTGTCGTAAAGAAATGTAGGATCTTCGCTATCATAAAACCACCACCAAGTGAACCGAAAGGGAGTGGCCCAGGCTGGTCTGGTCAGGGGATGTGTGGTGCTCACTGACCTGAGATCCACTTCCCTTCACATCTGGGACACCATGTGCAGCAGACCTCACAGAGCACAGTGGCCTTGGGGTGCTCCCGAGTAGGGATGATCTTCCTGCCTTGTGATGTTTTGGACTGTTCTCCCCATTCTTTTCTCCATGGATTTTTTTTTTCTTCTTTTCGGAACTCTGCTGTTTGCTTATGTTTTGTATTATAAAAGAGGAAGAAGTATAAACCATAACTGGCCTAAAAAAGATTTCAATTGCTAGTTGTCTTGTGTTCACTTCTTGATTCTTAAAGCAATATATAGTATGGCTCATGTGTGGTTGTATATGATTGAACATTAAAAATAAAATTCACTTGGGGCGCCTGGGTGGCTTAGTCAGTTAAGCTTGATCCCAGAGTCCTGGGATCGAGCCCTGCATGGGGCTCCCTGCTCAGTGGGGAGCCTGCTTCTCCCTCTCCCTCTGCCTCTCCCTGCAGCTCATGTTCTTGCTCACTCTGCTCTCTCTCTCTCTCACAAAAAAATAAATAAAAAATTTTTAAAGGAAAAAAATTTGCTTTATACCTTCATTCTGGTTATTTGTTTTCAGTGAGGCATAACTGGGAGACTATGACAGAAGCGATTCAAAATCACATCGGCTCTCTAAACTGGGGCTGCAGGTTGTCCTTGAGGGAGAAGGCCGTGGCCTATGTCAATTCCTATGGAGAATTTGTTGAACATCATAAAATAAAGGTACTGTTTGTTTTGTCTTGTTTGTTGCTTTTCTTTACTATTGCTTGAACTTGCCTTGATCTGAAATTCCCTGTATGTTATGGACTCTCACTGACCTATGCACACACATTGCCTTTTGTGCACCTGTTTCTTCCCCATTGTTGTTGATTCCACAGGTCCTGCTAAATTGTAGGAATTGCCTTTTAAAGAGCTCTTCATTTAAAGTTATTATTTGCCTTTTGATTTTATTACTACCTTAAAAGAAAATGTTTAGACTAAATAGTTGAAAGTTTAAAAGACAAAAAAAGAAAAATTTTAGTAGTGTAATTCTTTTTTAAAATGAAACCTTAGGGGGGATGGGCAAAATGGAATGAAGAGTCACGGGGATGAAGGTACAGCCTCGGGAATTAGGCAGGGGTGTCATAGTAGCTGTGTGGGGACAGATGGCAGCTACACATGCGCTGAGCATGGTGTGATGTATAGACTCACCAATCACTGTGTTGTATACCTGAAACTGATGGGACATTGTGTGTCAACTGTACTTCAGTACAAAGAATAATTAAAAAAATAAAAATAAAATGAAACCTTAACTAGAACTCCAATATGTCATTCAAAGGTGTATTAATAAAATTAGTATGGAAACTAGTGTATTTTTATAAGCTTTGTAATGTTTCATATCATAAGAGCAATATGTAATGAAAATGAGATCGTTTTGGTGAACACGAGAATTTTAAATTGGAGTTATAAAAGACAATCAGATATAACCCTCAACACCTAGTTTATTTTTGAACTCTGCTTTTCTGGCACAGTGTGCAGTGATCTTGGGGGGATTTGAGGTTGTTTTGTAGTCATTTATTATCTCTGGAAAGGTGAGATGGTCTGTCAAAAGCTGCCCCTTTTGAAACCATACATGGGCCAATTTGAATTACATCACTCACATGAAAGAAACATCATAGAACTATGAGTCAGGTAGTTTTATTTCTCAAATTGTGGCATGGCCGGCATGGTTGGTTGAATAAGCCAGTCGTTCGCAGCCGTACCTGCCTCTTTTCTGCGTTTCCGCATTTAGTGATAAGCAGGGTCTCCTCAGTTGCTCCAGCAACTCCCCTCCCACCCCTGCAGCCGGCGCTTGTTTCTCTCTTTCCGGACCCTCTGGAGCAAGTGCCTGTCTCCAGGCTGCCCTCCCTCCATCCCACCATTTAAACCACCCTCTTGTTTAAACACCTTCATTGGTTTTTGAATTTTTTTAATAAATTATTTGTATAATTGAAAATGGGCAAACAATGAATAACCTTTCCTGGTTCCCCATAGCTGAAATCTTGAGAATGGCAAATAAAGGTGTTAACATTTGGCATGAATCTGTTTCCCGTCACTGGGACATGTTCCTCCCTTTCCGGCCACTTTCTGACCACTTGCCACTCCCCAGACACCTGCTACTTTCAGGCATGTGTGCTTTTCTGTGCACTCTTCTCTCTGTAGGTTTCCTTTCTTCTCAAATCCTCTCACTTTCTTGTCTCCACTTGAAATACCACCACCTTTGAAGCTGCCCTCGACTGGTGTTCCAGTCCCCTATTCCACCTCCACTGGGCTCTGTAGGTGATATTCTATGAAGACTTCTTTTTTCTATGTTGGTGCTTATCACACTGCATTATTATATTTGCATGTCCGCTCCTGTTGGGTGGGAAGCTCTGTAACTAGTTGTCCAGGGTGTCTGATACCCTACCGTGTTTGTAGAAGAAGTTGAAATTTACTTTTCTCTTTTCAAGGCAACCAATAGAAAAGGACAGGAAACTTACTATACTGCTGCAAAATTTGTCCTAGCGACAGGCGAAAGGCCCCGCTATTTAGGAATCCAAGGAGATAAAGAGTACTGTATTACTAGGTAAGATTAAATAGGCTATTGTAACCGTAAATTATGTTATGTTTATGTGTCCAATTTATTTAGTCCCTGATATTATTTCACAAAAGATTTGAATTGATGACAAATAAAAAGTATAACACACGAAGCTAAGCTTATGTTAACCATATTGAAGCCCAGAGAAAATAAGGTTAGGTAAGTAATAAGGTCAAATTTATGCACACATATATGCTGTATGATTCTAGGTAATTGCTCAATGAGGTCTGGGAAGTTGTCTCTAAACTTCATGGAAGCCAAAGCAAAGAAGTAAATACAAATAGCTTTAGGGTTTAGTGTCTATATGATCTAATGAACCAGTTGATCAGGAGAAGCGTGGCTGTTCCTAATACTGGGATTTAATAGTAATTATCCCTGGATGGTTACAGAGAGGACATTGTATAATGCAGGACAATGACTTTCAAACTTTTTTCACCAGATGCACATACGCAACTGATGAGTCATTGAACACTACATCTGGAACTAATGATGCACTATATGTTGGCTAATTGAATTTAAATTAAAAAAAAAAGAAATATGTTTTTTGTGACACTGTTGTTCAGGTGAACACACACACACGCGTGTGTGCGCACACACACACACACACTCAAACCAAACCATATTTCTTCTTATCTCATATAATGTAGTCTAATATTTTCTATTCTTTTTTTTTAAGATTTTTTATTTTATTTTATTTATTTGAGAGAGAGAGAATGAGAGAGAGCACATGAGGGGGGAAGGGTCAGAAGGAGAAGCAGACTCCCTGCCGAGCAGGGAGCCCGATGCGGGACTCGATCCCAGGACGCTGGGATCATGACCTGAGCCGAAGGCAGACGCTTAACGACTGAGCCACCCAGGCGCCCCTATTTTCTATTCTATTTCATTTTTAAAACACCTTCACTTGTGATCCACTAATTTGATTTTGAAAAACCTGAGATATACTTCTTACTCTATAGTGGACACTCTTACAAACTCCAAAAGGCTCTTTCTGTTCATGTTTCTTCATTCCAGCACCAGGTTGCTATGCCAACAAAAGACCACTACACATCGAAACCTACATGTTCATTTTTACTTCATTTTTATTGCCTACGTGTTCCTTTTGTTGTTTTATTTTTCAGTGATGACCTGTTTTCTCTGCCTTATTGCCCTGGCAAAACATTAGTGGTGGGTGCATCTTATGTCGGTCTGGAATGCGCAGGGTTTCTTGCTGGCATTGGCTTAGATGTCACGGTTATGGTGCGCTCAGTCCTTCTTCGTGGCTTTGATCAAGAAATGGCAGAGAAAGTGGGTTCCTACATGGAGCAACATGGTGTTAAGTTCTTAAGAAAATTTGTACCTGTGATGGTAAGTCTGAAAGGCATTTGGAATTCCTTTTATTTTCAGGTTTTTAAAAATTCTCTTTTTAGTTTTTTATTCTAGCTCTCCTTACTTCATTTCCTGAAAAAAATTAGTCCGTACTCAGTAGGACACCTTAAAGATAGTGGTCCCACCTCCAGTCTACATAACTGACCTCCACATGTCCCTCTGTCCTCCCCGCCCCTCCGCCTGTATGGGAAAGTGTCCTTGCTCCTCTCACGCCTTCTGTATGCTCTTACCTTCTCTCACCTTGTCAGGGATGCTCCATCTTCAGTTAACATCCTTTCTGCTCTGTCATTCCCACCAGTGTCTCTCCTCTTCAAACAAATAAGCCCTCCCTTGCCCTCTCTGCCCTTTTGGCTGGGTCCCTGTTTTTCTTTTCCTGTTTACAAGGAAACTTCTGTACATGCTCCTTCTGGTTTCTTGCCTCCATTTTCCACTTCAGCCAACTCTCAGCTGCTTTCATCCCTGCTCCTCCTTTGAAATTACATGCTGGGGTCTGTGGCCGACTCCATGCTGTCAGATCCAATGGTCATATCTCTGCCCTTATGGAGTGGGGCTTCTGGGCAGCATTCGGTGAAACTGACATTCCTTCCGTTTGAAACACTCTCCATCCTTGAGCTCTCTGGTCCCACAGCCTGTGATTCCACATCTCCTCAACCTGTAAATGTCAGAACACTGGCTCCCTCTTCTCTTCTCTGCACTTGTTACCTGGGTGGTCTTCTTTAGGTCCATACTTTATTATCTCAATGCTAATGGCTTTCAGATTTATATATCCTGCTCAGGCATCTCTCCTGAACTCCACACCCATTTACACATTTGGCTATGGGATATCGCCACTTGAATTCCTCATAAGCATTTCAGATTTATTAAGACAAAAATGAAATTCTTGATTTTCTTCCTAAGTGTATTCCCCAGCTCATCTTTCTGGCCTATCTCAGTACTCAGTAGGTGGTACTGAAGTCTACACAATTTATTAAGTCAACACCTGGAAAACATCATTCATTCCTCCTATTATGCCTCCACCAACTAATCCATTAATTTATTTCTACCTCCAAATTTTACCTTGTTACAGTCCTTTTTTCTCTGTCTTTACTTAGTCGAAAAACCTACATACGCACACATGTACACCCTCTGACCCATTTATTTTGTCACCTTTAGACAGAATCATTACATTACTTATCCTTACTAGGTTCAGCAGTTGGAGAAAGGTTCACCCGGAAAGCTGAAAGTAGTGGCTAAATCCACTGAAGGACCAGAAGCTATTGAAGAAGTATATAATACAGTAAGTTTTTATTTTATAAGCAGTAAAGTGGTTGAACACACTCATAAATTAGCACAAATGAAGTTTATGGGAAAATTCTTAGGCTTAACTTTTTTCCTTTTGATTCTTTGTGAAAACTATAATAAAATGGCAGGTAGTTGAGCTGTTGACATTTGGTATTTTTGGTGTACATGAAAAATATAAGAAAATATGTGTGTATGGATAATTTATATATAGAATAAAATCTGGAAGCAGATATATCTGACTTATAAGTACTTACTTCTGGAGCATTAGATATCTTTTACATTTGGGCATTTGAATATTTTCAATAAAAATTGAATATATCTTATAATCAAAAACAATAATAAAGATCTTTTTATTTTTAAAAACAATATAAAATCTGCAAACAATGTGAATTGTCCATGGACTATATTGGGTGGCAACAGTTCTAATTTAAAACTGATGATATTTGGATGTCAACATTTCTTTGGTAAATCATAATGATACATTTATGTTTTATATACTGATATATGTGTGATTGTTTTTGGTTAAAATAAGGAAACAATATGGGGAGGATCAACAAAGCCAAAAAATAAGAAAACAAACAAAATAAATCAACGCCAGTTGAGAGTTTTATTAGAATTTTATCAGATATATAAATCAATTGGTAACTTTTTATTGCAATATTTAGTCTTCTCTCCATAAATATGGTATATCTTCCTCTTAATTTAGGTTGTCCTTTAATAATAAAGTTAATAAATTTCTCTGTATGCAAATCAAGAACATCTTTTAGATTTATTCCTAGGTATTTAATGTATTTTTATGTAGTCATAAATGGTATTTTTTGGGGAAAATGTCATTGTCTTTAACTGTTGCTGGTGTATAGAAATGCTGCCAATTTGTGTGTTTTGATTTAGTATTCCATAATCTTGCTAAACTCTTATTTGATAATTTATCTTAGATTATTTTGAATTTTCTTTGTATGCCTTCATACTGTTTGTAAATAACAAAAGTTTTGTTTCCTCCTTTCCGCTTTTTTCCTTTTTATTTCTTTTTTTTTTGCATAAGTACACTAGCTGGGACCTCCAAGAAATGGCAGTGGCAGGCATTTTCTTGTTCTCAGTATTGAAAGTTCTCAGTGTTTCATCATTAAAGAGTAATGTTTTCTGCAGGATTTTGTTAGATATTCTTAATTAAGTTAAAGAATTTCTTTTCTCTTTCTTGTCTGCCAAGGGTTTTTTGGTTATTTCTTTTCTGTTTTTTAAAAATCACAAGTGGATGTTTGGTTGTAACAGTGTTTCTTTTGTAGCTGTTGATCAAAAATTTTTTTCTTTAATCTGTAAATGTGTTGAATTACATTGATTTTCTAATGTTCAACCAACTCTGTGTTCCTGGTATAAACCCAACTTGGTAATGGTTCTTTTCATATATTGTTGGATTTGGTTCTTGAGAATTTTTGCATTAATATTCATGAATTGTATTGGCTCATAATTTTCCTTTCATATATTGAACTTTTCAGATTTGGATATCAAGGTTGTTTTAGCTCATGAAAGAAGTTTGGAGTATATTACCTCTTTCTCTGTTCTCTGGAAGCAGTTTCATAATATTAGAATTGGTTCTTTGTCTGTTTGATAGAATTCACTGATGTAACCATCTGAGCCTATAATTTTCTATAGATATATGTATTTGACCACTGATTGAATTTCTTTAACAGTCATAGGGCTTTAAAGGCTTTCTATTTTTTCTTGAGTTACTTTAGATTAATTATATTTTCCTAGTAATTAGTTCATTTCTTCTGAGTTATCGAATATAATGGTATAAAGTTATTCACAGTATCTAAATTTGTAAATTGTTTACTTTTATAATAAGGTATAATTTACATGTAGTGAAATGCACATATCTTAGATGTACAGTTCAGTCAGTTTTGAAAAATGCACATTTGTGTAATCCATACACATTTGAAGGTAATAGAATATTTCTACGAGTTCAGAAAGCTCTCCTATATCGCTTCCCACTCCCTGACCCAAACAACCCTATTCTGATCCTGTCACCGTAGACTAGTTTTACCTATTCTAGATGTCACAGGAATGGAACTATATGATACATACTCCTCATATTCATCCATGTTGTGTGTCTGTAGTTAGTTGTTCTTACTATATAAATTATATGATTATAAAATTGTATGAGTATACCACAGTTTGTTCATTTTCCTGTGGATGAACACCTAGGCTCTTTGTGGTTTGGGCTATTGTGACTAAAACTGCTATGAAGATTTCTTGTGTAAGCCCTTGTGGACTTATATTTTCGTTTCTCATGGGTAAATACCTAGGAATGAAATTAAATGGTCAAAGATGGTTTCTATGTTTAACTTTTTGAGAAACCGTATAACAGCTTCTATATGAATGAATCATTTTATATTTCCACCAGCTGACATGGGAGTTTTGGTTGTCCCATGTCCTCAACATTTGGGCTTGTCTGGATTTTTCATTTTAGCCATTCTAGTGCATGTGTAGTGGTCTCTTATTATGGTTCTAATCTACGTCTTCCTGATGACTAATGGTGTTGAGCAACTTTTCATGTGTTCACTGGCCATTTATTATATTTTCCATTATGAAGTATCAGCTCACATCTTTGGTCCGTGTTTTTTTATTCAGTTATTTGAATTTTATTCTTGAATTGAGGGAGTTTTGTACATCTCTTGGATACCTTCTGTTTTCAGGTAGATATATTGTGAATATTTTCTTCCCATTTGTGACTTGCCTATCATTTTTTATAGCATCTTTTGATGAACAGTAGTTTTAAAATTTTTATGAAGTCCAGTTTATTAATTTTTTGCTTTATGGTTAATGCTTTCTATGAGCTCTAAGGAATCCTTTTACCCAAAGGTCATGAAGCTATTCTCCTAAATTTTATTCTTGAAGCTTTATAATTTTATCTTTTATGTTCAGGTCTGTAATACATCTTGAATTAATTTTTGTTTATACAATGAGGTAAGAATATGGATTTTTTTTCTTCAGTATGGGTATCCAGTACCATTTGTTGAAAAGACTTCCTTTCTCCACTGAGTTGCTTTGGTGCCTTTATTGAAATCATTTGACCATTTAACTGTGGGTCTGTTTCTACATTTCTTTATCCCATTGACCATTTGTCTCCTTTCACCACATTGTTTTCAATACTGAAGCTTTATAGTAAATTTTAGACTGATGGAGTAAGTCCTCGGGTTTTGTTTAGGTCCTTTACATTTCCATATAATGCAGCTTGTCAATTTCTACCAGAAAAAAATCCTGTTGAGATTTTTTTCTATATTTTTTATTGTTATGTTAATCACCATACATTACATCATTAGTTTTAGATGTAGTGTTCCATGATTCATTGTTTGTGCGTAACACCCAGTGCTCCATGCAGAACGTGCCCTCTTTAATACCCACCACCAGACTAACCCATCCTTCCACTCCCCTCCCCTCTAGAACCCTCAGTTTGTTTTTCAGAGTCCATTGTCTCTCATGGTTTGTCTCCCCCTCCGATTTCCCCCTCTTAATTCTTCCCCTCCAGCTATCTTCTTTTTCTTTTTTTTCTTAACTTATATTACATTATTTGTTTCAGAGGTACAGATCTGAGATTCAACAGTCTTGCACAATTCACAGCGCTTACCAGAGCACATACCCTCCCCAGTGTCTATCACCCAGTCACCCCATCCCTCCCACCCCACCCACCACTCCAGCAACCCTGTTTGTTTCCTGAGATTAAGAATTCCTCATATCAGTGAGGTCATATGATACATGTCTTTCTCTATTTGACTTATTTCGCTCAGCATAATACCCTCCACTTCCAGCCATGTCATTGCAAATGGCAAGATCTCATTCCTTTTGATGGCTGCATAATATTCCCTTTTTTTTTTTTTAAAGATTTTATTTATTTATTTGAGAGAGAGAGAATGAGAGAGAACACATGAGAGGGGGGAGGGTCAGAGGGAGAAGCAGACTCCCTGCCGAGCAGGGAGCCCGATGTAGGACTCGATCCAGGGACTCCAGGATCATGACCTGAGCCGAAGGCAGTCGCTTAACCAACTGAGCCACCCAGGCGCCCTGCATAATATTCCATTGTATATATATACCACTTCTTCTTTATCCATTCATCTGTCGATGGACATCTTGGCTCTTTCCACAGTTTGGCTACTGTGGACATTGTTGCTGTAAACATCGGGATGCACGTACCCCTTCGCATCCCTACATTTGTATTTTTGGGGTAAATACCCAGTAGTGCAATTGCTGGATCGTATGGTAGCTCTATTTTCAACTTTTTGAGGAACCTCCATACTGTTTTCCAGAGTGGCTGCACCAGCTTGCATTCCCACCAACAGTGTAGGAGGCTTCCCCTTTCTCCGCATCCCCGCCAACATCTGTCATTTCCTGACTTGTTAATTTTAGCCATTCTGACTGGTGTGAGGTAGTATCTCATTGAGGTTTTGATTTGGATTTCCCTGATGCCGAGCAATGTTGAGCACTTTTTCGTGTGTCTGTTGGCCATTTGGATGTCTTCTTTGGAAAAATGTCTGTTCATGTCTTCTGCCCATTTCTTGATTGGATCATTTGTTCTTTGGGTGTTGAGTTTGATAAGTTCTTTATAGATTTTGGATACTAGCCCTTTATCTGATATGTCATTTGCAAATATCTTCTCCCATTCTGTCGGTTGTCTTTTGGTTTTGTTGACTGTTTCCTTTGCTTTGCAAAAGCTTTTTATCTTGATGAAGTCCCAATAATTCATTTTTGCCCTTGCTTCCCTTGCCTTTGGCGATGTTTCTAGGAAGAAGTTGCTGTAGCTGAGGTCGAAGACGTTGCTGCCTGTGGTCTCCTTTAGGATTTTGATGGACTCCTGTCTCACATTGAGGTCTTTCATCCATTTGGAGTCTATTTTTGTGTGTGGTGTAAGGAAATGGTCCAGTTTCATTCTTCTGCATGTGGCTGTCCAATTTTCCCAACATCATTTGTTGAAGAGACGGTCTTTTTTCCATTGGACATTCTTTCCTGCTTTGTCAAAGATGAGTTGACCATAGAGTTGAGGGTCCATTTCTGGGCTCTCTCTTCTGTTCCATTGATCTATGTGTCTGTTTTTGTGCCAGTACCATACTGTCTTGATGATGACAGCTTTGTAATAGAGCTGGAAGTCCGGAATTGTGATGCCACCAGCTTTGCTTTTCTTTTTCAACATTCCTCTGGCTATTTGGAGTCTTTTCTGGTTCCATACAAATTTTAGGATTATTTGTTCCATTTCTTTGAAAAAAGTGGATGGTATTTTGATGGGGATTGCATTGAATGTGTAGATTGCTCTAGGTAGCATTGACATCTTCACAATATTTGTTCTTCCAATCCATGAGCATGGAACGTTTCTCCATTTCTTTGTGTCTTCCTCAATTTCTTTCGTGAGTGTTTTATAGTTTTCTGAGTATAGATCCTTTGCCTCTTTGGTTAGATTTATTCCTAGGGATCTTATGGTTTGGGGTGCAATTGTAAATGGGATGGACTCCTTAATTTCTCTTTCTTCTTTCTTGTTGTTGGTGTATAGGAATGCCACTGATTTCTGTGCATTGATTTTATATCCTGCCACTTGACTGAATTCCTGTATGAGTTCTAGCAGTTTTGGGGTGGAGTCTTTTGGGTTTTCCACATAGAGTATCATATCATCTGCAAAGAGTGAGAGTTTGACTTCTTCTTTGCCGATTTGGATGCCTTTGATTTCTTTTTGATTGCTGTGGCTAGGACTTCTAATACTATGTTGAATAGCAGTGTGATAGTGGACATCCCTGCCATGTTCCCGACCTTAGGGGGAAAGCTCTCAGTTTTTCCCCATTGAGAATGATATTTGCTGTAGGTTTTTCATAGATGGCTTTTATGATATTGAGGTATGTACCCTCTATCCATATACTCTGAAGAATTTTGATCAAGAAAGGATGCTGTACTTTGTCAAATGCTTTTTCTGCATCTATTGAGAGGATCGTATGATTCTTGTTCTTTTTTTTGTTAATGTATTGTATCACGTTGATTGATTTGCAGATGTTGAACCAACCTTGCAGCCCAGGGATAAATCCCACTTGGTCGTGGTGAATAATCCTTTTAATGTACTGTTGGTGAGAATTTTTGCATCCATGTTCATCAGGGATATTGGTCTGTAATTCTCCTTTTTGATGGGGTCTTTGTCTGGTTTTGGGATCAAGGTAATGGTGGCCTCATAAAACGAGTGTATTCCGTTGCTTTGGGATGGAATGTTCTGAATATGTCTGTGAAGTCCATTTGGTCCAGTGTGTCATTTAAAGTCTTTATTTCCTTGTTGATCTTTTGCTTAGACGATCTGTCCATTTCAGTGAGGGGGGTGTTAAAGTCCCCCACTATTATTGTATTGTTGTCAATGTGTTTCTTTGCTTTTGTTATTAATTGCCTTATATAATTGGCTGCTCCCATGTTAGGGGCATAGATATTTACAATTGTTAGATCTTCTTGTTGGATAGACCCTTTAAGTAGGATATAGTGTCCCTCATCTCTTATTACAGTCTTTAGTTTAAAATCTAATTTGTCTGATATAAGGATTGCCACCCCAGCTTTCTTTTGGTGTCCATTAGCATGGTAAATGGTTTTCCACCCCCTCACTTTCAATCTGGGGGTGTCTGGGTCTAAAATGAGTCTCTTGCAGACAGCATATCGATGGGTCTTCTTTTTTAATCCAATCTGATAGCCTTTGTCTTTTGATTGGGGCATTTAGCCCATTTACATTCAGGGTAACTATTGAAAGATATGAATTTAATTCCATTGTATTGCCTGTAAGGTGACTGTTACTGTATATTGTCTGTGTTCCTTTCAGGCTCTCTCTTTGCTTAGAGGACCCCTTTCAATATTTCTTGTAGGACTGGTTTCGTGTTTGCAGATTCCTTTAGGTTTTGTTTGTCCTGGAAGCTTTTTATCTCTCCTTCTATTTTCAATGACAGTCTAGCTGGATAGAGTATTCTTGGCTGCATATTTTTCTCATTTAGTGCTCTGAATATATCCTGCCAGTCCTTTCTGGCCCACCAGGTCTCTGTGGATAGGTCTGTTGCCAATCTAATGTTTCTACCATTGTAGGTTACAGGTCTCTTGTCCTGAGCTGCTTTCAGGATTTTCTCTTTGTCTCTGAGACTTGTAAGTTTTACTATTAGATGTCGGGGTGTTGACCTATTTTTATTGATTTTGAGAGGGGTTCTCTGTGCTTCCTGGATTTTGATGCCTGTTTCCTTCCCCAAATTAGGGAAATTCTCTGCTATCATTTGCTCCAATACACCTTCTGCCCCTCTCTCTTTTCTTCTTCTTCTGGGATCCCAATTATTCTAATGTTGTTTTGTCTTATGGTATCACTTATCTCTCGAATTCTGCCCTCGTGATCCAGTAGTTGTTTATCTCTCTTTTCCTCAGCTTCTTTTTTTCCCATCATTTGGTCTTCTATATCACTGATTCTCTCTTCTGCCTCATTTATCCTAGCAGTTAGTGCCCCCATATTTGATTGCACCTCATTAATAGCCTTTTTGATTTCGACTTGGTTAGATTTTAGTTCTTTTATTTCTCCAGAAAGGGTTTCTCTAATAACTTCCATGCTTTTTTCAATCCCAGCTAGTATCTTTAAAGTGATGATTCTGAACTCTAGATCCGACATCGTACTAATGTCCGTATTGAGTAGGTCCCTGGCAATCGGTACTACCTCTTGTTCTTTTGTTGAGGTGATTTTTTCCGTCTTGTCATTTTGTCCAGAGGAGAACAGATTAATGAGAGAACAAAATGCTAACAGGGTAACAACGTCCCCAGAAAATATACTTTAAACAAATCAGAAAAGACCTTCCAGAAAGTGGTCGCTTTTCTGTTCAGAGAGTTGTCGCTATTCTTTTCTTCGATCTCCTGTTGAGTTTGTAGGTGTTCAGAATGGTTTGATCCCTATCCAGCTGAATTCCTGAGACCAGACGAAATCCAGGTCTCCTACTCCTCCACCATCTTGCTCCGCCCCCTCTCCCTGTTGAGGTTTTTATCGGAATTATATTGATTATATAGACCAGTTTAGAAGAACTGACCATCTTAACAATATTGAGTTTTCCAGTGTGTGAACTTCATAGATCTTTCCATTTATCTATTTGTTCTTTAGTTTCTCTCCGCAAGATTTTATCATTTTGCTCTAGAGGTTTCTTGTGTGTTTTGCTAAATTTGTCTCTAAATATTTCATGTTTTTAAGCTATTATAAAATGGTATTTTAAATTTAAAAATTTTCAATGTTTAGTTGGTAGTATGTAGAAATACAAATGATTTTTGTATGTTGACCTTACTGTAGATTCTTGGGGTTAACGTCTGCATATAAAGTCAGTTTTGTTCTTCTTTCCAGTCTGTCTGACTTTTATTTCTTTCTCTTGCATTGTTGCACTGGTTAAGTCCTCCAGTACAACGTTGAATAGAAATTGCTTGAGAGTGGGCATCCTCATCTTGCTCCTACCTGAGAGGTGAAACATTCAGTTTTTCATCATTACTAGGATGTAAGCTGTAGATTTTTTTTTTTTTTTTTTTTTTTACCAATGCCTTTTAACAGGTTGGGGAAGTTTTCTTTTATTCTTAATCTGCTGAGGACTAAATTAAAATTAAAATCCTCAAATGATATTAAATTTGTCAAATTCTTTCCCCATATCTATTGGTTAATGATTAAATTGTTTTCTTCATTATTTGGTTAATATGATTAACTACATTGATTGATTTTTGCATATTGAACCAAATTTGTATTTGGGGGACAAACCCCAGTTGGTCATGATCAATTATACTTTTTAATGGCCCTGTCTCCAAATACATTACATTCTGAGGCACTGGGGCTTAGGACTTTAACATGTGAATTTGGTGCAGGGACATAATTTAGCACATAACATAGAGTTATTCAGATTTTCATGTGTGTGACTTAGTAAACTGTCTTTCAAGGAATATTTCATTTAAGCTGTCAACTTTATTGGCATAGGGTGTTCATAGTATTCTGTTATTGTCCTTTTATTGTCTAAAGGATCTGTAGTGATGTTCCTTCTTTCATTCCTGACATTGACAATTTGTGTTTTGGATCTCACTCTAAATATAGGTTTTGTTAGCAATTGGTCGTGACTCCTGCACAAGGAAAATAGGTTTGGAGAAGATCGGTGTCAAAATCAATGAGAAGTAAGTACATGTGGGATCATTGCACTGTTGCTGCACAAAGCAAAATGTTTCTACAGATCACCTCTTGGAAATTCTCAGTTAATTACTAAGATGCAAAATTTTAATGCTGTAAGTTTATTTCACAAGAAGTACTGTGCCAGCTCTGTATTAATCAGTTTTTTTCATTAATGAATCAGTAACTCTTTAGTGTGTGCCTTAAAGAACTGATACATTAAACAGTGATTTTAAAAAATAAACTGTGGAAATGTCCTCACCCACTTTCTGATTTAGAGTTAATTTTTATGTTGTTGGTCAGGCAAGGAGAAAAATTTCAAAGCTCTAAGTGTGACTCTGGGGGACATCTGGACCTATCCTTGGCATCCAAAAAATGAGTATGGTTTCACCAACCAGAAAGGTGGTTTTTTTGGAGCTAGAGAAACCCTTATGATTCGAGCCATTGATCTTATAGACATTGATGACCTGAGGTGCCTCTCTTCTTAGAGGGAGGTCTTTGCTCTATGTATTTAGTCATTTTCTCTTGGAAAAGTTGGTGTTAGTAATCCAGTAGTACAGAATGAGTCATAATGTATTTGTTTCCTTTCCAAAATCCAATAGGAGTGGCAAAATACCAGTAAATGATGTGGAACAGACCAATGTGCCCTATGTTTATGCTGTCGGGGATATTCTGGAGGGTAAACTTGAGCTCACACCAGTTGCCATACAGGCAGGCAAGCTGCTGGCTCGCAGACTTTTTGCTGGCCATTTGGAAAAGGTGAGTTTCCTGCTTTTGAGATGATATCTAGATCAAAATTGTGATTAAAAAAATCATTACAAAGAATACTTGTGTACTTGTTTTGCAAGTAAAGGGTTCATCACAGATAAATTAGTATTTAGTAATAATTTTCAACAAATATCGTTTGAGTGTCTCCTGTGTGCAGGATGTCATGCTAGGTGATATACAAAGGATTGGCATGGTTCCAGTCCCAAGGGGCTTCCCAGGAGAGTGGAGGATCATGAGTAATGTAAGACAAGGGGCAGTTAGTTGTAACTTATTGGGCTGGTAAAGGCATCCCAGATGGGCAGTCACTGGCCCTGGCTTCATGCCTGCTGGTGTGTGAACCTGGTGAGGTTGTTTCAAGTCTCTGTGCCTCAGTTTTACCTCTGCCAAGTGTGAAGGTGATGATTTCTACCATCTCTTGCACTTTTCATTGTCTTCAATCAAAGATGTGGGACAGGCTTTGTAGGATGAGTAATTCAAAACTGAGGTAGCACAGGGCTTTTCTGGTAAGTAGATAATGCAGATGCAAGCACCAAGCTCAGCAGGACTGTGAGTAGTCTGTTAGAGTTCCCACCTGGGGATGTCATGCTCTACTCCATGAGAGCACTGTGGACGTGTGGAAGTGTAGGCAGATGAAGGGCCTGGGTAGGGGTGAGGAAAGCTAAATGTTTTGTCCTACACAAAGAATTGTCCCTTCTATAATACTTAGAGCATTCGGGGTGTGTGCGGGCAGAACACTTGGGGATAGAGGAATACAACTGGGAATGAGGCTAGAAAATTCATTTGGTGCCAGCTCATCAAAAATCTTTTATGCCACAATAAAGAATTGGAATGGACTTCTCTAGGCAGTGGGAACTGTTGAAGACCTTTACATCCTCCATCTTTCTGTTTAGAAAGATGTCAAACCACAGGAAGAATAGGAATAATCATCCATATTACCCTTCTATCTACATTCCCCAGTTATTAATATTTTGCCATTTGGCTCTCTCTCCTTTTCTGAATATGTATGTATACAGTGCGCGCATTTTTTTTCCAGAGCTTTTTGAGGTAAGTGGCAGGTCAATGACATTGGCCCCTATATACTTCAACATGCATCTCCTGAGAACAAGCATCTTCTTCCATAACCACAGTTTCATTATTCTATCTAAGAGATTGGACAAAAATGTGATACTGTTCAGATTTCCATTAAGTGTATGCACATGCATGTGTTTGATTCATGTGGTATGTTTAGCTCTTCTGACTCTTAAGTCTCTTTTAATCTGAAATGGTCCCCCTGTCTTTATTTACCTGCTTGTTTTGTTTTTCGTGACTTTGATTTTTGATGAGTCCAGACTACTTTCCTTGTAGAATGTCTCCTATTCTGAATTTCTCTGATTGTTTTGCATGATTAGGGTCAGATGAAATGTTTTGAGTATGTCTTCTTCACAAAGGATGCTGTGTTCTGCTTATTATATCACCCCAGGTGCCTCGTGGGGTCATGAAGGAAGACCTTGAACATATGGAGGCATTGCTGGATGGGGGCAACGAGGATGCAGCTCTGCTGGCCTCAGTGGGTGGGGCCCAGGATGCTGAACATTACAGTGTGGCAATGCAGTTAGCATTTCGGGGTGTATGGAGGCAGAGTAGTTGCCAAATGCTTTAAGAAGTTAAGGTGGCCGTCGGGTGGAGAGATCTGAAGATGCAGCAGTGTGTTTAGGGTATGAAGAAAGAAAGAGCTTAAAGGTACAGGACTAGAAGGAAGGCAAGAAGGGCAAGATTAAGTCAAGTTCAGGTGGAGGGGATGGTTTAAGATGTGGAGAAAGTGTTTTAGATGAAAGGGAGGAGCATTGAGGAATATCCTGTTGATTATTCTTAATTGATAGGAAATGGGAGATAGAGGCATCCTTTGAGAATGAGGCTTTCCCTGTAAGCCATGGGACCCAGGGTCAGCTGCTGGTCAATACAGCTGACCCTTGAACATCGTGGGTTTGAACTGTGGGTCCACTTACGTGTGGATTCTTTTCAGTAAACATGATAGAGTGCTGTAAATGTATTCTCTCTTATGATTTTCTTAGTAACATTTTCTTTTCTCTAGCTTACTTTATTATGAGAATATAATATACAATATATATAACATAAAAATATGTGTTAATCAACTGTTTACAATATTGGTAAGGCTTCTAGTCCAAGGTAGGCTATTAAGTTTTTTGGGGGGGAGGGGTTCAAAAGTTATATGTGGATTTTTGACTGCATGGGGGGTCAGCACTCCAACCCCCACATTGTTTAAGGGTCAGCTGTAAATGGATTGATGTGTATTTGCGGGCCTAGCAGAAGTCAGAAAATACTAAGATTATCTCTATGGTTACGTGTTTTTTTTTTCTAGCCATGTTGGAAAAAAGAAAAAAATGCTTGGCTCACCCATGATTTGCAGGTTCGCAAGTGTGAAGTGGTATTAGAGCATCTAAGTTAAAGATTCTAGGCTGATGTACATTATACATAATCCACCTCATTGATGTGGGGATACCTGGCGGTGCTTTGATTTGTTTTTACTTACGCACACTAGGCAGACTGAGGGGTTTTTTACAAGGATCCTGTGCATTAGTAAGTTGAAACACTAACTTAGAACAAGCTCCATGCTAGGGCTGGGCCACACTGCATTTGTTTTTTTGTTGTTGTTGTTGTTGTTGTTTTTAAGATTTTATTTGAGAGAGAGAATGAGAGAGAGAGAGAGCACATGAGGGGGGGGGGGGTCAGAGGGAGAAGCAGACTCCCTGCCGAGCAGGGAGCCCGATGCGGGACTCGATCCAGGGACTCCAGGATCATGACCTGAGCCGAAGGCAGTCGCTTAACCAACTGAGCCACCCAGGCGCCCCTTGGGCCACACTGCATTTGGAGCTAGAACTGGGGCTGGGGTCACAGCTGCTCTGGGGCCCCGGCACACAGGTGGGGGTCTCACAGGGGCTCTTCCAGTAGCCTTACTTGGCTATAGCTCCACAGGTGAATTTCTTCCTGTCCCACTACCACTGGGGGATTCTTCCTTTGCTTCTAGCTCATCTTCCTGCAAAAGAAAGAATTTCATTGACGTAGCTCATCTTTTTCTACATAGATTTCTGGCCAGCTTACACATTAGCTTTCTTTGGGTTAGAGGTCACCCTTGACCTAATCACCTACAACCTGTTGGCAGGGTTGGGGGGACATGTAGTGCTATGGGCAGTGTCGTCCCTTGAGGGGCTACTGATGGGCAGGCCTGGTGACCTTCATCTCTGGTTGTACCCTCCACCCTTTCTCTGCTCCTGCACACTGCTCTCTCTCCAGGCACGGTTCTAATGGTGCTTGCACCAGTGTGTTCCAGTTCTCCATGCTGTCACAAAGACACTCTCTTCCAGGGAGGAATGCCACTGGCGCTCACATTCTCTTTCCCACAGGCAGCTTCATAGAGCTGCTGGAAGAGGCATGCAGAGCTCAGAGTCTGCAGTCTCCCCGCGATGTCCACTCACGCTCTGCCTCAGTCTCACAAGGGCTCTATGGGGATTCTGTCGGAACCACAGGACTTAGGAGATCCTGGTCCCCATGTTAGCTGCCCCGCTACACTTATGCCATCTCCCCTTGATGGTCCAGGGCATTCACCCATTCCTACACTGTTAAACTGCTCCTCTGCTCATCTCCTCTGTGGCAGTTATGTGAATGGCCAAGGGTGGCCTCAGCTTCCAATGAAATGGCGTGATTCTTGGTCACCTGGTAGAGGTGCTTCAGGGGGAGCGGGGTCCGGAATCAGGGGGATGGAAATGAAACATTTTAGAGTGCAAGGTTGGGGCTCTGGGAGAGCTGGTCCCATTTGTGGGCCACTGGCCAGGGTGTGGTCTCTGCTCTGGAGTTGGGCTCACCCCCTACTTTGAGTGTAACTACAAATTCCCTGAAGTGGTGAAATGGAAGAATCATTCACACTGAACCAGACTTATTTATTTTCCTCTTAGAAATGTATGTAATGTAGATTTTTGCTGTGAAAGGTGTCACAAAATAAGCGGATGTAATTTGTTTATCTTTCAGTGTGATTATGTTAATGTTCCAACTACGGTGTTTGCTCCTTTGGAATATGGCTGCTGTGGATTGTCTGAAGAGAAAGCTATTGAAGTGTATAAAAAAGAGAATCTCGAGGTAAGATTGTGTTGTACTGTTTACTTTTTCAGAATTTCTCTTTGAATCAGCTGACTTCGCAGTCACTTTTTGTTTTGCAAGTTACTGTAATGATTAGAGTGTAGGAAATCATATTCCTATTTTAGGAAAATCAGAAATTAAGTAATTTAAACCTTATTTCTCTAGCTAATAATAATAATACAGTTGGGGAAAGGGGGACAAAAGATGTATGCATTAGGACTTTCGAGTTATAAGTGACAAATGTCTATTTGAGTAGCTTGTACAAGAAAGCACATGTTATTATAAGACTTTGTGGAATGCAGGAGTATATACATGCAAGGCCTTAGGAAGGGAAGAGAACCAGGAACTGCAACACCGTCTCAACTTATGTGGGCGTGTAACTTGTTCTTGTTTCTGCATGCAGACTTTCTTTGCCTCTGGAATGCACATAGCAGCCAAAATGTGCCCTTTCTTCTACAAACAAGTTTATTCAATAGTTCTGGTCTTAGGAGGACTCACTGTTTCTCAGTCTCAGTTCTGAATTATGGAAGAGGACACCTGATTGGTCTGAGTTGGATCAGCCATCCACCCACTTCCATTCAGCATGGCCGGAGTCAGGTTCCTGTCCCATCAACATGGGGCATCTGTGTTGTGGATGCGCTCAGGGAGGGGAGGGTGGGCAGTTCCCAGGGTTGTCAGCCTGTTGCGGGCTATAAGCTGTCAGATTCCCAAAACAATGTCCTTGGCATACATTTATTTCCACCTGCCCTTCACCCCTGCCCCATCAAATCATAACAAACTTATAAATATTTTCTTACAGTGTAATTTGATGGGTAGTTTGAGTGGCTTTTTTTCTGCACACCATTCCAACATAGGAGGGATAGGGAGAATTAAAAAGAGTTGGAGGATTATTAGTACTTGATGTTTTCAACAGATTTGTGGATTGTCTGAAGAGAAAGCTATTGAAGCATATCCTCTCCCTTGAAGTCATGTCAGTTAATGGCAATTCGTTGAAATCACAGCGTTAGTTAAATGGCCTGATGACTAACTGAAGCTCTTATTTATATCTCTGATATTGGGAAAATGAGTGATTAAAACTTTATAATGTTATCTTAGATGGTTGTTTTCAATGAGAAATGTATGTTTTAGAGGACATTACTTGATCAATGTTTATAATTAACTCTTTGTAATAATGAGCCATTTTTTTCCTGCAGCAGTGAACTTTTTACTTGAGTCTTGGAAAATTGATGGTAACAATTATGGATTTAACACTTAGTTCTAAAACTTTTGAAATTAACGAGAAATTAAGATAGAAAGGCAGGCACATGAGAGGAAGCATGTAGAAGGTTATACCCCAGACATGGGAATATCTTTATAGAAAAAAAGCTAGGTTTGTGGGGTTACTTTAGGTCTTTTTCCTAAGCTTCACTGCAGATCAACTAACCATTTCCTATATATTTATGTAGTGATTTGTTTGTTGTGTTTGACAGGACCAGAAATTTGATGTATTATTTTTTTTAATTCCTATTATGAAGAGATTTGAGGAAGCCTCTCAAAAATACATATATAATATTTTTTCAAAGAGAAAATCAAAGTGAAAAGAAAATGAGGGTAGGAAAAATTAGGATGGTGTTAGAAGAAGGCAAATTTGTCAGTTCACAGAATTCATGCCATAAAGTCACATAGATTGGCTTTACAATTAACCTAAAAATCTTGGGTGCCTGGGTGGCTCAGTTGGTTGAGCGACTGCCTTCGGCTCAGGTCATGATCCTGGAGTCCCGGGATCGAGTCCCGCATCGGGCTCCCTGCTCAGCGGGGGGTCTGCTTCTCCCTCTGCCCTCTTCCCTCTCGTGCTCTCTGTCTCTCATTCTGTCTCTCTCAAATAAATAAATAAATAAATAAATAAATAAATAAAAAACCTAAAAATCTACCTCCTACTATCTGACTAAAAGAGGGAGAATTGACAAGAGATTTCTCAAGTTTTTACAAAAGGGGCATTGAGATACGGTGAATAATGGCCTTAAAATATCCCCTTGGTAAATACAGTAGTGGATTTTATAGAACTGTTTCTTATTAGATCCTGAAATGCAGTCCCGTGGCCTAATGCCACAGTGCAGTATAATAATAATAATAATAATAATAATAATAATAATAAAAAGTAGTTCCTGAAAGGGCCAAAGTAGGGCTGTGCTGATGTGCTGCTCTCCGGTGACCTGACTTAATACAAAATTGTTGAGTATCTAGAACCAAGGTTTTAACCTGTTTTAACATGAATTGCTTTGAGAATCTAATGATATTTTTGGTTCCCAGGGAAGACCCCCTCTACATGCTGGTGTACCTGAGAACCATCCTTAATTCCTCCTTGTTGGTCATCATCAATAGTCAGTTCACCAGGAAGTGCTTACCAGTTTGACTCCCAGAGTATGTCTTGTGTGGACCTACTTATTTCCATCCCCGCCCTCCCTGTCCCATGCCAGTCCACCATCAGCTCTTGCCTGTAGTCTTCCTCCTGGTCTTCCTGTGTTCACTCATGGGCCACTCCAGTCTGGTTATCACACATCAGCCAGAAGAGCTTTTAAAAACACAAATCAGTCATGCCATTTCCCGGCATAAAGCTTTTTAATGATTTCCCAGTGCTCAAAGAATACAACCTGAACTCCTCACTTTGTTCTAGAAAACTCACCATGTTCTTTCCTATGGCACAATCTGTGGGCTTCTAGTTTCCTTTTCTTATTACAATGATATGGAAAAGCTCAGGGAAACACCCCTGCCAACACTAGGGGAGATGTTACCCAAAGGAGACCAATAAAAAGAAACCATTGTTCTTCCCCCAGTGCCGTGATTCCATACCTGATACTCCCTTAGGAGAAGAGACAGAGATGAGAAAGAAAGAGACATCGGGATTTCGTTTGGGGAAAAAATCCCAGGCTCTCTTCCTAGTGAATACATGTTACTTGGAAGGAGGGATTAGGGGAGTAACACCTGCATTGATTGTTACGATCACATTTGAGAATCAAAAGCACTCTATCACTGAATTACCAAATACATTGGAATCAAAAGAAGCAGATGACTGAGAATAAAGTTAATGACCTAGGAAAGGTTGAGATAAAGTTGATAGGGGTGCCTGGGTGGCCCAGTCGGTAAGCGTCTGACTCTTGATTTCAGCTCAGGTCATGATCTCAGGCTCAGCTTATGATCCACACCCAGCGTGGAGCCTACTTAAGATTCTCTCTCTTCCTCTCCCTCTGCTCCACCCCTTCTCTCTCTGTCTCTAAAAAAAAAAAAAGAAGATGATGATGATGATAGATATGGGTAGACGAGGATGATCCAACATAAATATAATTCATACCCCGCCGTGGAAAGTCTAACAAGTGGTATTCTGAAATATGGTAGAAGAAAGCATCCTAATATTAAAGAAGAACTGAATCTGAAGATTGAAGTAACATACCCTTTTCTAGAAGAAACCCAATGTAACATGATCGACACAAACATGTTCTAGTTAAGCTAGGTATTCACAAGGGCAATGAACCAGTCTGGCCCCAGGCTTTTCCATAACAACATTCAGTGTCAAAGACAATAGAGTGATGTCAATAAACTTCTGAGGGAAAGGGATCTGCCTTTAAAATAATCTCTGAAGGATGGGGGGATAGTAAAGGAGACAAAATAGCAATGACATTTTAGGGAAAAAAAACAACAACAGATGAGTGATAAATAACCTAACATCAAAAAAAGATGATAAGCTGGTAAGGGAAAAGTCAAGAAACCAACCTGGCTTTACATCAGAGTCATCGAAGGCTCAAAATTTAGTGACACCATGTACATCTGGAGGGGATGTAGGGGCCAGCTGACATCAAGCAAACCAAAAATCCATTTAAGAAACAGTGAGACTGTCACCTGCGGACACCCTACAGAGCACTTTCCACACACTGGCAAATATCTGGAAGGTTATTTTCTGGAGATGGTTAAAACCAAAAACCTCTTAATTAGGGAGCACTGGGATCAAGTGAAGGCAGGATCCAGCACAATACTAAAGTGAGCAGATTCATACTGAATCTTACTCTTCTTCCACTGAGCTTCCAGAACTCTGGCAACCAGCCCTTTACCCTTCTCTGACCAGAGGTTGGTAGAGTCTTATTTCTCAGGGGACTCTGACAAGTCCATAGAGAAACACCTGAAGATACTGAATAAGGTCCCCAAATAAACTTCCCAGTTGGATGATTGGACAGTGAAATTCAAATTCAATAAGCTACAAAAATGAGCTCACAACTTTCAAACTTTGGGGAAAAAAAAAAAACACTTTGAGGCATAATTTACTTACAGCAAGATGAAGATTTTGTGTGTGTGTACAGTTTTATGAGTTCAGACAAACAGTTGTGAAACCACCATTAGAATCAAGATAAAGAACAGTTTCATCACCCCCAAAATCAAACATCTTTTTAATCCCCAATATTTAATATGAGCAAAGGTTATCAGACTTGAAAGAAACAAACTGTACATATGCACAGAAATAATGTATTATACTCATGAACAGAGACTAGGACATACCTTCAGAAGTAACATTTAGAGAACCAACAGATAGCTGTGGAAATGCAAAATATGATAGCAGAAATTAAAAACCCATTGGATGGGCATTTATCCCAGAGAAATGAAGACTTCTATTCATCTCCATGTGTACGTGATTGTTTATAGCAGCTTTATTTGTAATAGTTACAAATCGGAAAAAAACCAAAATGTCCTATGGTAGCTGAATGTCTATACAAAAGGTGGTGCATCCACACCAAGGAATGCTACTCCACAGTAAAGATGGTTGAATAGGAGTGCTATTATGGAAAATGGTGAAATAGGAAGCTCTAGGAATCTATCCCTTCACTGAGACCACAACTGAACTGGCAGGAAGTGTTTGAAGCAGTTCTTCTGGAACTCTGGAATCTAGTTGAGTACTTCCAGTATCCAGTGGAGAGCTTGAGGAGGAGGCTGGGAGCCTGTGGTGGATTTTTGTGTTTCAATAAAGGCCAGTGTCC